AGAAAATCAGTAGAGCAATGGTCGTCAGATGCTACGAAACATGTTAATCTTTTGATTACATCTGCAATGGTGACTTTAACGAAAATCTGGCCTATGAATTTGATAGGTGTTCCGTTGGCTGTGATGCCTTCCGGCAATGTAGATTCCGTAATACAAGTTTTTGAAAGTTGTGCCAATCTCTCGGAAACAATGGTAATGGCTGAACCAGTATCAAAAAGTGCCACAGTTGATAAAGAATTTAATTTGACTGGAATAAATGTAGTAGACATGGAATTGTACTGAACTGATGAAACATTTGGAGTGAAGTTTGGATTAACATTCAACTGTGATCCAATTATTTTAGGGCTTGAGATTTGCAGTTTTCGATCGTTGGCTTTTACTTCATTCAAAACCAATTCACCTAGTTCCACCGATTGATCGTTAGTGGAATAGCTAGGAAACGGATTTCGTCGGAATACTCGAAGTATTCTTCGCGGCGAAGAAGGCTGTGGAGTAGTTGTGTTATACGGTTTTTTCTTAGAACATTTGAACATGAATGAAAATGGTAGTGACATTACATTATAAATAGCCGAAAATACTTTGCGAGCGAATGCGAATTGACAATACAAAAATGTTATAAAAATTACTATAGACACCATTGGGAAAATGACCAATATTTGTAAAAAATTGTGTAGGCCTAGAGATTGAAGGACTTTTTCTTTCCCCATCTGAAGGACATCCGCCGCTTTGTTTTCAATGTATGAGATGGTTTTCACGGTATCATCTATAAAGTCTTCACTATTCGTGGGCTTCACAGAAGACTGCGTGCGTTGGGAAGAAGTAGCGCTGATGGAAGCAAACCTATCTTTGAGCATATTAATATCAGTGGTGATTCTAGCTAAATCTGAATGAAATATTGGTGGAGAGTTAAAAACAAAATTTTGTGGAGTAAGACTATCAAAAGGTAAGTGACCACAATTAGCCTCAGGGCTTGATGTAGTTAAATCTCTTGTCCCTGGAGTTACAAAATATATGGATTTACCAATACGAACCGGTGTGTGGATATAACAAATACCATTAACTTTGTGATTTCGGTAAACCTCGTCAACTACAACTTCCTTACATTTTGACACCATTAAAACATCACCTGCAGGCAAAGCAAAAATATCATTTCTGTTGAGTAAAATACGAGCTGCGCTTGTAGGGTTTATTTCTGCAATGCTTCGTATGGCCTGGATTTTGAAATTTGTCAAAGAACAAATTCGATCGAAAAGGAAATTAAAATCACGTTGAATTAGTTCATTTATTTTTATTTCCAAGAACTGTAGTTTAGTATTTAGCTCAAAATGGCGTTGGTCGTGCCTTTGTGTAGGAGTCAACAAAGAATCGTTACGCAAAGAGCTGAAATCTGGGATGTTATGCTTTGCAATATACTTAGCAATAACGGAAGCGTCATTAGCTAAAACAAGGCTCAAATCGGATGATTTTGATGGTAAAAGGAATGAATGTAGTTGATTATGATTGTTGGCAATTGCAAAAGCTCTTTTGAACCTTGTGGGCTCTGTTTTGATGTTTTTCAAAATTCCGACCACTGAACCCAAAGTTTCAAAAGTTGGGTCAGCTGGAAGTATCTTTGCAATATCCGAATCATCTGGCATAGCTCGCTTAAAGTAAGAAAAATTTCCTACAATGTCTTGTACAAGTTTTTCTATTTGACCAGCGAATTCTTGTGATGGTTTGGAAGGTTGGAGTAGTCCAGCTTCTTTTAGATGTCTATCATTAATTGATCGAACTAGGTTTGGAGCCGTAGAAAATAGAGTAGTCGGGTTATATCAATGAATTTCGGGGAGTGAAATGAAAACTCCATTATCCATCGAAATGGAATCATTAGGTAGACACCATTTACGTTTTAAAAAACGCGAAAGAGTGGTATTTTTGTAAGTGAAAGCTGACTGGATACCATCTAGTACTACATGCGTTGGAGTCACAAAAGCAATACCCTCTGTGGCTCTAACATATTTGCATGTAAATGGATTTTCATTAGCTAACTTCCAGATTACGGTACCATGAGTTAGTGTGCAGTTACGGTATGAAGTGTGGCAATTTCCCATGTCACCGAACTGGCTAACTATAGTGTTACCATCGAAAGTAGCTATTTCAGCTTTTTCAACATAAACATTGGTGGTATAGGTACATTTCTCGCCAAAAAACAGAGGATATGAGTAATGGATCGTATTTTCCGAGCCATACACATTAGGACCAAGAATTTCCAAAGTTTACCCATAAAAATTTTGGTTTCACTTAGTGATGTGCACAAATTAGGGTCGATTGGGCTCATGAATTCTTCGTCACTATTTACAGAAAAGGATATATGCAAATAAGACGAAGTACATATTTTTCTAGTTTTTTTAAAACAGTGATAAGCGGGCAAAAGGTAGGGTTCAGTCCGTTCAACAAAAACTTCGGCCGTTGTCAGTAAAATATTCGATGAATTGGTGTTATGAACACAAGAAGTAGTTTCAGGGTACGCTACTGGCCATCCAGACTTACCGGCTGCGCATAATTGGTAAGTTCGAAGAGAAAGAGTTGATACGGTAGGAAAAATGAAAGAAAGAATTGCTACAATGAAAAGAGAGTATGGGTAAGTAAGAATGCCAGTCGAAAGGTTTGTTGCTACTGCGTTGACTGGTCTCCTTCTGTGAGCGCGGTTATTCTGTGTGTTACCAGTAGATCTTTGGGGACCCGAATTTTGTCTATGATTAGAAAAATTCACTGGTGTTTGTGATCTAGAGCGCTCACGACTGAATCGTGACCTGTTTTGTGAATTGTCGAAACGATTATTGGTAGGACTGGGTGCAAATCGAACATTTTGTCTTGGAGGGTACCGATTATAATTAGAAGGATGATTTGGAGAACGGAAAGAATTACGATTTGCAGAAGGATAATTGCGCTGCCTTGGATATTGATTCCAATTTTGTCTCTGATGTTGATTCCAATTTCTATATCGATTTGGTCTGTGAACCACGTTAATTGCCGAATTAGACCGTTCGATATTATCCAAAGTTTGTTTACTTTAGCCGATGGCACTGTTAGAATTAAATATGTCGTCTGGAGGTGAGAGGCCATAAACTCGCTCCGCTTCTTTAAGTAGCGTGTCATAATCTGTTGGAAGAGGTCCTTTGAGTTTGAGTTTTTCTTTAATGCTAGTTGGTAAACCATTTGTAAAAATAGTTCTCAAAAGAAAAGTCCGTTATTTTGATCACTTTCCGGATAAGCATCGTCTCCGAGATTTTTAAGTCTATTTGCAAAAAGAAGGGGAGACTCGCCTGGTTCCATTTTCATTTGTATCAGTTTTTCGCGTGCTAGATCCGAAAAATGATCAGTCGAAAAATGTTCCTTCAACTTTTTGGTTATAGTATTCCAGCCTTTTCCTTTGTCCTCAGCAGAAATGTTATCGTATACAACTTTCGCTACACCACGCAAATGTGCTGGTAAAAGAAGAACCATTTTTTGTTCGTCTAGGCCCATAATGGTTGCAATTTCAATGAATTTCGCGAGAAAACTCATAAAACCTTTGCCTCCTTGATCTCCTGAGAACGTGGGCAGTTTCGAGGAGTAAGATGCAAGAGTCAGTTTGTCGAAAACAGAACCCAAACGATCAACGATAACTTGCGCGTCGTTTGGAATTTGAGGCATTATTGCTTGTTGATTGTTAGCCATTGAATTCACTGGTAAATGAATTGTACCCACAGTAATCTCGCTCTGAATATCGATAAGGTTATTTACTACAGTTGGATCAAAAGGATTTTGATGCTCTTGTTGCAAATGATCTGAAGTGCGAGATGAATGTGAAGAAAGTGATTCAAGAATTACGCTTTCAGCTCTATCTGACTGAGAAAAATCGGATGGAGGAGCTGAAACTGAACGTTCTATTTCTATTGGTGATCTAGACGAATGTGCGGCTTCTACTACTTGTTGAACTGGTACTACTGGTTGATCTTGTTGAACTGGTACTATTGGCTGATCTTCTACTACCTGGAATTTATGAGTAATTCGTGAGTGAGATCTAGGTCTTCTTTTTACGGAACCTCTTTCTGTAACTTTACAAGGTTTTGGAGATTCACCTGATGTACGATCGGTATCAGAACTACTCATGTAGTGAAAACAATGTTGAAACTATTATTGCTGTTGAAAGAGAAAAAAAATTCTGTTATCCTTTTAAATGGAAAAAAATTTTGTTTTGATTTCTTTTTAAATTGTGAAATTTACTTCAAATAAATTCTGTGAATTTGAAAATCTGAAAAGTCTTTTTTTCGAAAAGATAGACGAGTAGTTACTATATTATAGTTCACTAATTATTTGTCTCAATAAATTCGCACCTGTATCCAGATTGTTGGTTGCCAAGTCCAATGTTTGTTGTTGGTCCGAGATAGTACGTTAGCTGTGGAGAGGCTTGAGTGTCGGTCGCGGGTGCGAGAGGATGGCGAGGTGAGATGGTATGAGGCTATTGCCAGCCCTAATGGACTTTAGAAGGATGAATGTTGGGTTGGGGAAACTACAAGGAGACCCAAGAAGCAACCAGCTGGGGTGGCTACCAGGATATAGAATGATCTAAGCTTCTTCCAAAGGAGGCGGGTCATCTTTGCATTGTAATTCTTACAAAAATCTGGGAGGAGCCAGCCATCTGGAGCATATGTTCTTAGGGTGTAATAATTCTGCCCTTCCAAAAAAAACTATTTCCACTTGTATATATATTATATATTATACAAATATTTTTTTTCTGGAGTAGCTATAGCTGCATATGCGGATAAGCCTGTTACATAACTGTAGGCGTGTCAAGGATTAAAAGTTCTGGTGCAGGGTATTATGCACCAGACCTCATTTGGCATCCATATCTTATTTTTTCTTGCTCACAGAGCGGTTGCTCTCTTCTTAGCCCCTGAATTTGTTATGATATTTTTTTGTTTTTTTTTTTTTGTTAAGCCTATTTACTTAAACAAAATGTTTTTTTTTCAGATAAAATGTCGTCTTTCGGTCGCGAAAACAATGGGACTCCGTATCCATCTCCGACTCCTTCAAACTGGTCGCCGGAGTCACCGGATTGGAGCAATGTTGTCTCCCCAGGCTGGAGAAGTGTTTCTCCAGGTTCGCAGTACTCATCCGTAAGTATAAACTCAAATTGTTCAGTGTTTTTTTTTTCAACTTGGGAGAGAAAGAAAAAAAACTTCGTTTTTTTTTTATAATATTTATATTTAGGTGAGTGAGATGGAGGAAATTCTGCGCCTGAGGGCAACAATAGAAAGTCAGGCAAATCAAATACGCGTGCTGGAGGGAACGGTGCGTGCTCTAGAGGAAGAATTGTCCACCCGCGCCGAACGCGAAGCTGGCATGGAAACGATGTTGGAACGGACTTTGCAGAAAGAATACGAGACTGCTTTGGAGCACGAAGGGGTTGAGGAAGAATATGAAGCGCGTCTGAAAGCCCGAGAAGACATCATCGTCTCTCTTAGGAAGGTAAGTAGAATAACTGTAATTGTATATTACTTATGATGCTCTTTTCCATTAGAGGAGAGCGAATGGATGGTAGATGATTTGCGAAGAGCGCGATGCTTTCTGCCGCTCAAGAGGGTCAACCCGTTGGAGAACGTCCTCCGGCAGTCGCAGGAGGACGAGCTCCTCCTCGCCTATCTATCTCGTTCAATGGTGGAGAAATCCACCATTGAGATTCAGCGAGATGGCAGGGCGTCCTTGACGCTTCTAATGGTCGACAATACGACCATTAGTGGTAAGTGAAATAAACATTATTTGTTTCTTTTAATGTTCAAATCTTGAGATAGTGGTACTAAAGACGTTAACGTTTAGGTTTAATGGAGCGCAACGACGGAACCCCATATAACTGATAGGAGGTCGACGACGACAACGTTTGGAGAGGGGACCGGCCAGGATTGAAACTCCAATTCGGGCATATAACTATCATAAACCTAGGAGGGTTTATGTATATGCCTCCGAGGATGGCTGCGTTGCTGAAGCGCAGTGTCGAAAACATCAGTGGCATCTATTTCGTCAACCTCCTCGGGCTCGACACAGTCATTCGGGCTCTGGATGCTGCCAATAAGCCGTGGAGGAATATGTAGGTATTCCCTCAAATGTGCCTTTCCCCATTTAATGTATCTATTTTGTGTAATAAAGTTGTTGATATTCTGTTCTGGGCAGCTGATATCAGAAAAGTGGTGTAATATTGTAGGCAATAAATTGCCTATGCCTAATCCTGGGTGTCGTGATTGTAATCTAGACAGCTGTGCAATTATTTCATATATTGTAAGAAAGGTCACCGAGTTTGAGCAGGCGCTAGCATTACTCTCGATTCGGTTGTCAGGTCACTTTGCTTACACTTAGGCGTTGAGTTATGATTGTTTTGTACGCGCGCGGACAGTTGTTGCAGCAATAGGTTTGATAGGATTAAGGATTATAGGTCGCCTGGCTGTGTTACATAGCGCGGTAGATAGTTGACATGTGTATCTGGCGGATTCTGTCCTTCCAGATTGCATGTAAACACTAGTGTGGTAATAGTAGCTACAGTGCGAACAGTCCAGTCCAAAAGATGAGAAAAAAACAATATTAATAAGGTATATACATAGGTACAAGTCATAAGACAATGCCTTTAACTGCTCACTAAATAACAACTTCTATGTAAGTATCCCCCAGAGATACTAACACAGGGCGCTACTAAATGATTATATATAGATATAGATATTTTACTTGCTTAAGCAAGAGTGTGTCCCACACTCATTGAAAAATAGAAAATAATTTGAACTTATGCGGAAATTTCCCTAGAAAAAAGAATTATTACATTTGTATTGGTAATAAAAGAAAGTATTGTTTGCATATGGATAGTAATTTTCACTCGCGAGGCATTACTTATATGTTTCGCGCGTCATAATGTATTGCCGATGGTAATTAGTCGACTATGCAAAAGTAGGGCGCAAGGATATTTAGTAATTTATGATTTGATCATCAATATTATGGTAAATCTATAGAAAGTGAGCGAGCTAATTAATTTGGTTATGTATATGTAATAGTTTTGGGACACTGGGACTGCTCGCAAGGACTTTTGTAGACAATATGTGAACATAACGTATATACACTACGTAAAAAGTTTTTTTTTCAATTGTTTTGGAACAATGTTCACATTTCTAAAGAAAAAAAAATTATAACTATTGCACTTTTTTATCCACTGCCACATTCTGGTAATTACCATATATAAAATAAAAGAAACAACTCACACGTCGCAGAGTGACGAAAGGGTAGGCGGGGTGGGCGAAGGGGGGGGGTGTAATTTTATTCCCAATGAAAAAAAAATTTAGGGGTGTAAAGAAAAAGAAATCTACCTGGGACCTCCATGTCAGGTATAAAAGGTTAGCTACTCCCTTTAACCTGATGTGTAGCGGGTTACAATATTTTATATTAATATTTATTATCTACATAATATACAAGGGTGATGGGATAGGGGGGATGGTGGCAACCGGGTGGTGTCCGGGCCACGGGGTCACTGCTTGGCTCGACTCTCGTTGGCCAGCCTCCGAACAGCTGATGCAGTCCAACTGCATCCCAACAAACCCATATAAGTAGCTTTTAAAAATTTCGCGACCCATTCTGAGGGGAGGGGGGTCTGTTAGGCTAGAAAATGTTTTGTCGTTAAGTAGTAAGGGTTTCGTCGCTTATAGGGCTTAGTGTGCAGTCTCACATATTAAATTACAAATGACTTGATTATACCTACCACTACTCAATTGCCAGCGGGGAGGAAAGGGGCTGTGACAAGAGAAGTTCGCAGGATCGAAGTGGAGGATCGAGTAGTGGTATAGACTTAGACTGAGGCTTGGGTGTTGGAAACAAATGTGCACCTTTGACTGTGATGCATTATTCTAACGCAAGTTATAGCTCCTTGAGCTTCCTCAGAAAGAAGGCATTACAAGTGTGGTGGAAAGCTGATCCCAAATGTGTTTTTGTTTCCGCTAATACTTTTTCTGAAGGAAGTCATGGTGTTTCTGCCGAATTTGGCCGCTTGAGGGAAATACTATCGGAGACGGAGGCTTGAATTAATTGCATTTTCAGTTTTGCATTGCCTTCACTAAGCTTCTTTCCATAGTTTTGGCATCCTCGAAAAAAACAAATTTATTCGAGCAAAGCAAGCCTCAAAAAGTGATTCATGCACAGGATAACGCATGACTGCACGTTTTGATCTATGAATCAATACTCCAACAAGCAGTTGACCAACTTTTCTATAATCGCAAAACATTTTATCCGAGAGCGGTGATTACGCGTCTACTGAAGAAGTTTGGCTCATGTGATGCGACGTGATAGACCACTTTACCTCAACTTACGTGAAGCAGCACGGGGTTTCTCGAGATTCAAAGTAATGACTGTGATATTTTGGAAAGTTAGATTATGTTAACTTCGAGCAAATTCTTGTTTCAAACATTTTGTAATGCAATTTCATCACTGCGTTTGGATTGCAATCCTTCTCCCAGTATCATCTTTTAGCTGAATATAAGAAAACATTGAAAAATTATTTCTGTTGAACTTTCGAAGATTGAGGGCATGTTTTTAGCGTGGAGGCACAAAGATTAAAAACGCAGGATTACATCCTTCAGCTGCACCACCCTATGAGGCTATCGCAATACGCATCACATCACAGCACACCGCGCATTTGTCTTCCCGATCATATAACCCTCAGGTAGCCAGACTCGGCGCAATCTTCTACAACTTGCTTGAGAGAGAAGTTTAGTAGAAACATAATGCAGATTTGTAACTAGCTTTCAAGATGGGTATAACGATACATCCTTTGTCTCAAATGAACACGGGTCATTAATTATTCTTCCCTTGCCAGACTGAGCTTCAGTTTGACTATAGAAATCTGTATTCCATTGCGGTGTACCGTAAGGCCCCGGACAGACTTCACGCGATTTGATCGTCGCGACTGAATCGCGGCGAGACAACTGTTACAACATCATTCCATGCCGATCAACTTGCATTTCGGTTGTGATACTTTTCCAGCCATTTTTGAATGTGAAATGAAAATGAATGGAAATGTCGGCGATTGAGTCGCGACGATCAAATCGCGTGAAGTCTGTCCGGGGCCTAACCCTCGCTGCTATAACATAATTCACAGAATAACGGTTGCATTTGTGAATCATTTTATAGGGTACTAATGCCAAAATTTCAGCAGCTAGTTTTAAAAAAAGATGTTGTATTAGAAGTTATATCACTTAGTCGCCAACTTAGTGTATTTTTGCTATTTTGCTACCCAAAATTACAATTTTTATGGTAGAGGTGCGCTTTTGGCCATTTATGGAAATTCAACTTCAAGCGCACACTCCCTGAAACTATGAATTGAAGCCAACTTTCAAGCTTGAAGAGCTTATCGAAAACAAATTTTTGATCAAGAGCCAGCTGACCTTATCTTCTTTCAGCTTGTGTTCGAGAAAAAACTAACAATAAGGCTCAGATTTGAAAATCGGAAAGCAACATTGCCCTCACTGACATGTCTGCAAGGTTTTAGGGTAAAGGAGTACATACTTCTCTTCCTAGTCTAGTATTGCATGACTCAGAACAACATTTCAATTAACGTTTTGCTTAAACTCTTCCCTATGAAAAGCAATTGAATGCGACCCTTCGCCACAAAAATTAGGTTTCAAAGAGAACAAAAAAAATTTTTTTTTGAAGAATTTTGACCCATTTAGGATGTTCTACCATTACCCATCTTATATATAAAGCTGAATGTCTGTTTGTATGTATCTCTCTGTATGTCTGTCTGTCTGTCTGCCTGTCTGTCTGTCTGTATGTGTGTACGTATGTTCCGAATAGAAAATTCCATTTCTGAACCGATCCGGACCAAACTTGGCACACATACGCTACGGGCCCCGGCGGGTGTCATAGGCTACTTTTCGTCATCGATCGATATCGATTTTATCGATTTTTATCGATTTTTTGCTGAGTTCACACGGGGCTGGGAGTTGGCACAGGGGGGTAATCGAGCATGGGGATTCCGAATACAATATTGGTTTTCGGGATTATCGATTACTTTTATCGATTTTATCGATTTTTTTGCAAAGTTTGAGCTAGGGGGCTGGGAGTTAGCACAGGGGGGTAATCGAGCATGCTGATCATCCCCAAGGGGGTGATCAGCATGCTCGATTACACCCCTGTGCCAAATTCCAGCCCCCTAGCTCAAATTTTCAAAAAATCGATAAAATCGATAAAAGTAATGGACGATCTTGAAAACTAATATTGTATTCGTAATCTGCATGCTCGATTACCCCCTGTGCAAACTCCCAGCCCCGCAGGTCAAACTTTACAAAAAATCGATAAAATCGATAAAAGTAATGGACGATCCTGAAAACTAATATTGTGTTCGTAATCAGCATGCTCGATTACCCCCCTGTGCAAAATCCCAGCCTCGCATGTCAAAAATTACAAAAAATCGATAAAATCAATAAAAGTAATCGATAATTCTGAAAACTAATATTGCATTCGGAATCCCCATGCTCACTTCCCCCCTGTGCCAACTCCTAGCCCTGTAGGTGAACTCTGCAAAAAAATCGATAAAAATCGGTAAAATCGACATCGATCGATAACGAAAAGTGGACTGTGACACCCGCCGGGGCCCGAAGTGTATGCGTGCCAAGTTTGGTCCGGATACGGCGGAGCCGGGTAAGCCAGCTAGTACTCTTATAAAGCTGAAGTGTTCTACCTTAACGGAAAGCATTGGTAAACATAGGAGATATATTGTCTTAATTACCCAAATAAGCCGTAAAAAATACTGTCGTAATTATTCAAAATAAGCCGTCAAAAGACACCAGTCACATTGCAGTACATGAGATTTATGCAAATGTGATTGCAATCACATTCGCACGAAAAAATGGTTAGAACTTGCCCCAGCATTCCAAACAAATTATAAGCTGTTGAACTCGGCTTTGAGCGCTAATTACAAATATACTTCTAATATCTGAACGATTATGATTTAGGAGTTATGAGCGTATAGATATGAAAGATTATTCGAATCCCAAATGAATATATTTCGGTGAAAAGCGGCTTGAGGGTGCGCTTTTATAGTATGTGTAGATATGAGTAGTCTATTTACAACGAAGACGCATCCAAAAACCAGAACGTTTTTGAAAGTTTTTAGTGGAAGTTGCGCTACAAAAGCTGACGAATTCGCGCATTCAAACGCTCATAACTCCTTCCAGGTAGTCGGTTGGCAGATGATAAATTAAGATCAAGGTCAAAATCTCTTTGATATATAGCTTGGTTAAGGCTGGATTAAGTTCGGACCATAATCTTATTAGTAATCATGGAAATTGTTTTATGAATGATCATGAGCAAATATTTGTAAATTCAGGAATGATTGTAAGCTGATGCTGAAAAGTACGACGGGAAAGAGGTGCAAATTGTAAATTTTAGCTCTATTTTGCTTCACCGATGTGTGTTGTAGAAATCTGTAATTCAGTGCTGCTGCCTGAATTCCTTTTCTAGTCTTGTAGTTTTTCGTTTATTACGACGACCATGTTTCCTCTGTGGCTGGACAGCACATTTGCCGTGGAGTGATAATCTAATCTGTTCTGACTCTTGATGATAAAATGCAGTCTACGCTTCCAAGAATAATTTGTAAAAAATTCATACTCCATGCGTTTCTATCAAATTTGAGCTTTGCTTTCCTTTCAATCGTTAGCATCTCTTCGAGCGGAACACAGTAGGCTGACACCGTTTAGCCTTGACTTATGTACTGTGGTCACATAACATGGAAAGGTTTTTGCTTTACGAGAGTTATTTACCCGGCACTTTTTTGGCGTGCGGAAACATAAAAATATGGTAATCAAAAGTTCGTGGTGTCGAATTAGGTTTCAAAGAATACGGTAGCTAGCTGACCAAGAAACTGCAGAATTTCTCGACTAGCGACAGTTATAATATTTTGGCGAGCTTAACCTAGCACGAAAATGAAAAATAAGTGAAAATGTTATTTTGGAGAAAAAACTCCCTATTACTCTCTCTGTAAAAACGCTCTCTGACACTCAAGAACTCTCGTGATCCTTAAAGCACAAGAAAAAAAATTTTTGCCAATAAGGGGATTACTTCTGTGAAATTGCTTTTTCACAAAATACGATTCCTACATCTTCACGAACTTGAAGCCTGCCTCATTAAGGTGTGAATTACCGCTGTATGAGAAATTTCAATAGGTTTTAAGCTCACTAGAGGCACTCTAGCATCCATACCATATTTAAACTCACGAATTTCATAGTTCATAATTGGATGCTTGGTCGTTATACGAAAATTTGTAATTAGGTAAATGCTGAAAAAGAAGCCTCCCTTCTTTTTCAAGAAAAAGGCCTTGGACAGAATTTGAAAAGTCATAAAACTTTTTCTTTCGCAGAAACGCTCGTGCCAACTCAGCATTCACTAGCCATCATGCTTCGTCGAAGAGCAGAAATTCTCGAGTTCATAGCAACATCACACACATAATGGTCTTCACGACAAAGCAAATATAGCCTTTTGACATCTGCTCATAAAACCTAATAAGCTCATGCTGGCATAGAAACGACATCCACCTTACGTCAAATTGATTCTTAACGCGAACCTTGTGCTTTCATATAAAGAAATAAATGCACAACTATCCTAGGCGTCCCTGTTTCCGAAAATAGATATAGCGATAGCTTACCGCGAGCATTTTAGACTCCGCCACAAAATTAAATGACTGACGTTCAATAAAGTGAGGACTGCTCTCGTATTCGCAAAATACAAATTATAATCAAAAAGAGTGAATGAAGTTGAGAAGTGACTGAAACTAAATCATGTGATTTGAATTCACATGAAAATGTGTGCCATAGGTACTCTGAAGCCTCCCAAATGAAACATCACTTGTTTTTGAGGGAACTCAAGCATTTGTTAGACTTGGTCCTTTGAATACGTACATGTGAACGATGTAAAACTGACAACATTTACTACCACTCTTTAATTATCATCAACCCGAGGGGAAGAAATTCATGATTTATTTTTTACTAGCTAGTTCTCCCGGCTTTCCAGCCCGGACCATTGTTCACAGAGGATGAGGCAGATGTACCGCCCCCAATTTACACGTTCTATTGACTATGGGAAAATGCTCGGTTAGAACATGATAAGTTTTCATTTTCATAAAAACCTCAATAAATCGACAGAAGAACCCAGTAAATCGCAGCAAAAACAAGTCTAAAGCCGGAGTTTGAGCCGGAATCGAAAATATTCGTTGGCAATGTTTCAACTCAATCAGTTCAGCCGTATAGAACATAAAAACAAACTGAACAGGAACCTTCCAGATTGTGAGCTTCTTCTATATATGAACTTATCGACCGCACGGACCGGCCATGTCTGCGAAGGGTAGAGGTGCGGTGAGAGGAGAGGAGAAGGAAAGATCGTCCATAGCAGCCACACTCTGATAGGTATTGGATAAAAACTCAATCATTAGGATACTGTTTTCGAATACATTCGCATTCGAAGTTTGAAACCTTAGTAGTTAGAGTCGGGATTTCGAATGAAATTCAAAATTCAAATTCTTGAAAAACTAAATTTACGAAAATTATTCAAAAATTTCATTCTAATTCGTATTCGAACGAAATATTCGAGTTTATGCAGAGTCACATCGACTGAAGACTATATCAGCAAGTTTCAGATGATTGTTGTTGTTTTATAATCGTATAAATCATTCAAATATTCATATATTCAAATGGTTTATTTGAATATCTAGCATTCCGTTGACTCATTCGATTATTCGAGATTCGACTTTGTTATTTGAGTATAATGATATTCGTTCACTCAAAATTATCAACCTTCGAATTTTATTCGATGTTCGGTATTTGAATTTTCAACTTATTTAGTCAATATTCGTCTACTCTATATTTTTGATCTCGATTTCATTCAGTATTCATTCATTCGAAAATTTGAAATTTTGGATGTATTCGATAGTCACCCGATGAAATGTTCGCGAAGTACACTGAAGACGTAGTAAAGCTCTTGTTTGCACAAACCGTAAACATCTGCTTGCTCCATTGTTCTTTACAAAATACCACATAGAAAGGAAACTGCATCACCCAGTACCCGGTGTCATATCAATGTACCGCTATATCTTCATTTTTTTGAGTGCAATTGGCACGCGTGAGCTCATTGTCAGCTTGAAATCTGCAAATCTGCTTATTCAAATTGCTCTCAAAATTATTTTTGCGTTGAAAAAAAAAGGAACGGCTAAATTCATCATTCGTGAAGTCAGTAAACACATAAACGAGCGGTAAAGCCTTAATCCATCTGGTTCATGAAAGTTTTGATGTTTTAAAAAAATGATACAATCTATACGTGATCATCTTATTCGAATATGATAAACAAATAACTAAGTAATGCTTGAACTCTTTCACACATTCCAACTACCACTATCCATGTACATCAACGAGGAGTTAGTTATGAGGTTGCAAGCACGTGTTCAAGATCATTGAAATGGCACTACGCATTCAAAGCACCATACAATTATCTGCGCTCTTGTATCACCTCATAGGTTGAGTAAGAATATTGAACTCTCAAGAAATGGTCGGAAGTCGAAGCGGCCAATTTGAACGATTTGCACATCATTAGACGTAGCATGAAACGATGGCTCTTAATCTGTCTTCCTTTTACTAAACACTTTCGTGGACGAAGCTATAAGACATTATAAGAGATTATAATACTAAAGAATTGTGCGTGCAAGATCAATTGGCCGTACAGAGGCCTTGTTCGTGTACTTCCTTGTTAAATATCAGCAATTCTAGCTTCAGTGGTAAAATTTTGGTAATTTTTGTTTGTGGAAAACAGACAACTATGCAGCTATCTATTATAGCATAAACAACATCGCTTTATTCAGCTTCAAACTACATCGCTTTATTCAGCTTCACGTAATATAGAACACACGCAAAAACTATACTACCCACTATATCTTATGCGACGTGTCTTCGCACTACAGTCACTTTGTTTTGAAACTCGCAACAAGGAAATCACACTACAGTCACTTTGTTTTGAAACTCGCAATAAAGAACATCTGACCCAAGCCAGAATCGTTTAAGCCACGAAGTTTTGTATTTCCTGGCTTATCATAGATGTAGTTGCCATGATCATCTACGTATTTTTGAATTGCCTGCGTTCCCAAACAATCGGCGGAACAGTAGTCAGCGAAGGCATATGCGTTAGCAAAGTAGTAACCGGTGGTGTTGTAGATACTTCCGAAGTAAAAGCGACGAGGCACTAAAATCAAGAACTGATAACAATCTGCTGTGTTTAAAACGTCCAATTATGAATAGGCTCAGACGCACTTTTACAGAGTGTTAAGCATACCTAGCACACCTGGGGTGGGCTAAACTTGATCTTTGTTCGGGCGTTGTTTTGCTGTTTGAGCGAGATCGTCGGCAATGGAGCGCTCGCTCAAACGTCAGAATAGTGCCCGATCATAACCAGTGGTGGATACTGCTCATGATGCTGTATACATTCTCTCACACCTACCCTAATAGTTCTTCAAGCATAGTTGCGTAGTAAGGTTCATATTTGACCAAACGGTCTTGTTATCAAAACTACGTTTTTTCAGACCGGAAGTTCAGCTTCATCAAATACATTTACAAATCAGTAAATGAAGTTCATCTGCACAAATATTAGGTTGGCACATAAGTTTTGCAACTTTTCCCGTAACTTTTTTCCTACTTTATGTAGCAATCTCATTTTGTGGCATCATGTAGATCGTGATGTAAGCTGGAAGTCTGCGCAAACCGTTTGATTTTTGATAACCTAGTACAAAAAATCTAAGCATTTTTTGAAAACTGCTGAAAATCGAGGTTTCACGATTTTTTGGCAAACATGAAGCCACACGAAACCTGATGCAAACATAAGAAAAAGCAATTATAAGCAGCATGTAGCTGGAAGTTGGCACATTGGAATCAGTGGAAAAGAAATGAAATTTAAACGCAAATTAAGGTGGGGCGCCTTTGAGAAATTGAACAAGTCAAATGCGTCAAGTTTTGAAGGCAATTTGTCAATAACTAAGCTGCGAAAAGTCAGAATTCGCTATAACTTTGCACTGTAGGGTAATCCTATGCGGTAAACACGAATATCATAATCATTTGTCGCTAAAATAAAATCCATCTTTTGATCTCACGAACGAGGCCTTTTCATGCGAAACGGATCTCATTTTTGTGATCAGCATGTCAAATAAGCTCTATAGGCCAAGTTTCGGCAAAATCTGATGCATTCTAAAATTTTTCCCATAGTACCGTAAACCTACCGTAATCCTCACATAAGGTTGTAAAATTCGGCAAAAATGTGTGCATTAGAAGCCTACATCATATTCCTTATACTGCCAAAAAATGAATGCGCTACGTTCAAATAGACAAAAGTTATATAAAAAGTTGCATTACTTATGTGCCAACCTAATAATTATTAGGAGTGCTCATCAACTTGTCACCGAAGCTTACAAGAACACCTGTCTCTACAAGGTGTTTTTTGGTACTTTTCCGTTACCCGGACCCATTTTTACGAAAGCCTCTCATATTATACGTTCTTTAGTCTAAGAATAATTTTTCATAAATTCTACGGTGGCTGCCTTCTTGCCAGGTGTTACGAAAAATTGACTTGTTTTGGTTAATTGACAACTTTTTTTTCGAAATTATTTCCGGTGAGATAAAAGAGAACTTGTGATCATTTTGAAGCTGTTCGACCGTTTTGCATAAGATCAAAACAATCATGAACTTATTTTAGAACATCTTGCTTGCTTTCAGCAGTGATCAAAAATGTCTTTCATTTTCATCATGCGAATTTAGCCAGAAAAGGCTATAAATGATAGCTTAAACCATTTTTTGCTGCTTATTCCGCCTCTTAAATGACGGAATCCTAGCGAATTTCTCTAATCTGAGCAAGCTAGACTGTTCATCGATAATAGTATATCGTCATTATTATGCCAATGTTTATTTTGAAACTGTTTGTTCGAAATGAGGTCGAAATTAACTAAAAAACAAATTGAAACTACATCGCTAGGTAGGATAACACAAACTCTTGGTAAAACCTGTTAAACATGTAGATGACATGTCAATTTTTATTGACACGTGGCAGAAGGCTGACACTCCTTCCTGTGAAGCTGGAACAAAATATGGTACAAGGATAGAAGCAATATCTCTCTTTGAAAAAATGGGTCCGGATCACGGAAAAGTACCTGTATTTTTTCAGATGTCAAATCAGACTCATTATATTGCCCCCAAAAACTATGGAAATTTCTTGAAAATGCTTAAGAAGCGTTTTGATTTATGTTTACAACTCTATGTATGTACTATGTAATTCTCTTTTCTATTATGCGTATTAGAACTACATTTGGAGCGGATGTAAAGTATGAAAACTCGAAATAGACAATTAATATATTTGTAAGAGCCCCCCAAATAACACGAATCTTATATAATCAAAAGAGTGGGCTCTAAGACCATTAGAGACACTAAAATTTCTATTACAGCATTAGTTTGATTTGGTCACATGCCAGCACTAATCCTTGCTCTGAGCAGGAGTAAAAAGTGAAATTTTTTTCTGCTAAAATGTTGATAATGAGCGAAATAAAACCAATCAGATTTTAAAAAAGTATTTTTGAAATAGGCGCAGAAGCTTCATCGTTCAATGACCGGCAGGCACGCCTTCGGAAAACTTCCTGGAAACTCTAGGACCCTGTAATTCTGAGAAAAAAGGCACGGCAACAGCTATCATTCCGGAAATTTTTACAAAGCTAATTGGTAGCTTCAGTAGCGGAGTTAGTTCGTTTATTGCTTTACCTGATGAAGGGTGCGTATTCGCTCCCTCCCCAGGCCTAACTTCTGCGGCAAAAATTTTGCTCAAGGTTCCAGCATGCTTCCCTTCCGGAATAGGGCGTGCGGCGAGGATTGGGGAACACACCTTGGCGCGTCAACATTAGACCATTTATCTCATGAGTGTGTGTGCGTGTTTGTGAGCAGTAAGCACACAAGCGAATGCATGCTAGAACGAGAAAATTGGCAAAGAAATTTTTAGAATCTATCATGATGATTACAAGTGAATATAACCACTTGCACAATCTCTCGATTCATGTAGAGCACTCTTGTTCCCCCCTCCCCCCCCCCCACTCTCTCTCCGCATCCCCTTTCCCTCAATTGAGCCAATGCCTTAGCGGTAACCGATGAAGACTAATTTGTGGTCAAAAAATTGAATTCCGAACTCTTGCTCACGGCGGTACCTCCTACATGCAGATCGAGCAGCGTCTTCATATACGACACTAGGTGAACATTTTCGTGATGAATTCGACTACGTATAAATTGTGAGCTACCGCTTGGTGGTAGCTAAGTTGAAGCACCCTATTAGTTTCACATATTAATTTCAGTTACTTTTTTTGAGTGGACACTGTCTAAAGATTGAGTGGAAGGTCATGTTGATGGATCATCCCTCTCTAAAAGCTTACTTGTTTTCCTGAAAACTGGAACCGATATGCAGCCAGATCTTGGTCCTTTGGAGAAACTCAACCTACAACAGTCAAACAGTCATTTCTATAGGAAAAGGTGACACGTGGGCGGAGTTCAAGCTAGTGTCGCGTCCGTTTACAATAATAATCAAAATGAACCTGTACGATGAATTGGTGTAGTCCCTTGGAATCCCTGCCCATTCTTCGAAGAAAAAACGAAAATTGTTGTAATACGAGGCTTTGAAGGTGGTGAGGGTCGACGCATCAATTGACGTATTTGAGCAAGCTAGTGGTATCGAGGTGGTATTTGAAGACGGTATCTTTTGAAATGTGATGGTTCGAGCGACATCCGATGTCTGGCACATCGCATCTGTTTCTTGACGGGTAAGTTTATACACTTGAGTAGAATTAATCTGTTTGTTGCCTTCCGAGTACAATTCGCAGCGATTCTGTAAAGAAATTGCATTGCTGAGCTTTTTTTCAACAATTACACACATTGTGATGTCCATCGAAAAAATGCTCATAGACTACGTAGGTGCAGTTACTCTCTTCATAACAACCCTTCAAACACATTTTTTGATTAGCGGCGTAGAAGAAGTACAGAGGATTTCCAGAGGCTTCCATAATGCTTCGAAAAACGAAGGAATGTGTCAGGATCACCTGTGTACGCAAAGCCCTTTATGATGCATATGCTCAACGTATATGAGCTCACCTGTGCCACTACGAAAACAATCTTGGATACTGCAATCATTTTCTTGAAACTTTGGGAGTGACCAACAACTCAGAGATATCTGGAAAAATTTCTAAATAATGTGCTTCTCAAATCTGCTTTGAGCGGAACACATATTCCTTATGGCCAGCCTACAAAAAATGGCAACTGTGGACGTGTCTTGTTTGATTGGAAAATACTGGGAAATAATTTATCTGCTATTCAGCAAAACTAGCTAAAGACATGATTCAAGAAGGTATGAAGAACATTAGCCCATTTTTGAGGCAAGTTCAGTTAGGATATGTCTGGAGATTAGAAAGTTGGATCTTCTAACTTCTATTTCGGAGCAGTCGTGCAGTACATATGACCAGTTTTTAGGACGTTAGAGATTGTTATACACTGAAAATTCCATCTCTTCACTTTCCTCATATGCAGAAACTCATCGTCAAATTTTTTTCACAGCAAGTACCATCTTTGGCTGCGATGAGAAAATTTTGTTTACCTTTTTTTCATATTGGGTCTTGTACACAAAACTACTTTTCAGATAGAAACTAAGTCAGGCTACCAAATGTAGAAAAAAGGCTTAGCAATTGAAGACCTGGAAAATAACATACAAGAAACGAGAAAATTGATGTTAGAACTAGATCTTGTAGCAAACATTGAAAATGGTCGTGCACTATCCCAGCCAAAGTGTGCTGGATATTTCATGTTGCCAATTCAGAATTTTGTAGCGCAGTCGCAGTGGAGAGCCTGGCAACGAGTTAGAGTAACCGTCTGTTGCAGAAGATCCAACCAGGAATGGTCGTTCGGGGCGGAGTTCTTGTGTGTATCATATACACATAATCTGAATGAAAAGCAGTCTATTCTTTTGAATTTTGACAAGATGTTGGAAACAAGTAGCTATGGTTACCAAAAAAAAGTCGAGCATATTGAGAACATAAACACTGTAGCACACGTGGCACTTGATTTTGTGTTAGCCGCTGTAGAGCTCATCGAGCTTTTCTATGGCTACTTTTTAGCTCAATGAACACAAGGGTGTAACTTCATACCAACAGTCTTTGACTTGAATCAAGTCGCAGAATTACTCTAGCAAAGCATAATTTTCTAAGCTTCACTATATGGTGATGCATAGAATCAAATGATCATCAGAGTTTTCAAGGGAAGTTTTCTAAATTTTCCACACCCACACTACCGTCCTATGGTGCCCCACCTGCACTTTTAAGACTGCTTAGCTTGAGGTATAAATGCGTTGTTAGCGAGTTGGTGTTGACGGTTGATAGTTGCTAAATTCCTTACGGTTTGATAGGTGCTGTAGCGGCCAGGGGTCACCATGAGCTATATCTATGAGCAAACATCCCCTCAGTTCTCTAACTGGGAGCTTGAGAAATCGACGAGTTATTTCACTAACCTTTTTTGGCGACTATTTGCACAGAAAAATAACATTTGATTATTCTTTGGGCTAATATCGATGGCTTGCACATGATTACATCATTCGAATAAACTTCGCAAAAAGTCTAGAAACCGACCCAGTTTGGCGGGCCAAAAGACATTTTGATCCGCTTGACGCGCAGTTTTCATAACAAAATACCGCTTAGTGATCAGCTCTTTCTTGCGCATGCGGACCTACAAGTTAATGGGATGTGTTGCGCATTTGTAGCTTGAGACCTTAACTGGGATTTGCTCCATGAATTCCACACACACACACACACACACACACACACACACACACACACACACACACACACACACACACACACACACACACACACACACACACACACACACACACACACACACACACACACACACACACACACACACACACACACACACACACACACACACACACACACACACACACACACACACACACACACACACACACACACACACACACACACACACACACACACACACACACACACACACACACACACACACACACACACACACACACACACACACACACACACACACACACACACACACACACACACACACACACACACACACACACACACACACACACACAATGAGTGAGCTGAACCTTGAAATGGTGCCTTCTTATATGATCGTTCATGCTCCCGTGCGCGCAAAGTCCGCAGTCAAGTCCGTCGTCACGATTTTATGAGACTATATCTACATGCTGATAGGGTGTTATGACCAAGATTCTAGCTCGAGAGCTTGCCTACAACTCGGTCCACGAATTTCGTGGCAGGACATAGAGACAGACAAACAGACGTCAACATTCGCCCGTTATTTATAAATCATGATTAGGATAGATGATGTAAACGGTCTTCGGATCGTTCTACGCTGCTGCCCCTACGCCCATAAATTCTTACTCTATAGCTGTTGTTAACTTTGGCAACATTGGTTTATCGAGTTATTGACCCCTCTACATGGGATTCTCAGTCACTGCTTCCTTTTTTTCGTATTGAAAACTTTCGTATGGCTTTTCTTTCATATTTTTCTCATTTTGATGTCAGTCCTAAGATCACTGACGATTAAGTTTGTGTCTACTAGCACAGTGGCGCACCCTTGAGCGTAAAACTGGAATAAAGCAATGTAATCTATTTGAAAAATGCCAAATCTGTGATAACACTTTTGGGAGGTGACCGAAAGTTTTTGCGTTGCAGGCTTTCTCGTTTTCAGTTGAAATGCCACCGGAGTCAGCAATAACCTAGCTAGAAAGGCTAAGACAAATTCTTGAAGATCAAAAAATGTTATTCACACTTGAACTGCAGCTGTAACATGACATGCACCACATCTACAGAACATTTATTCATTTACTAGGTCACGCGTAATGCCATAAATTTGCCACTTTCACATCCATCATGCAGATTTTGAAAAACAGCGACTCCATTTTCACGAAACATCGTGTAGGGAATTTCGTAGAGAGTTTCAAAACCTAACTGAAAAATTTTCGATTATTTTTTCTTTTTGCTCCGCATCTAATTCACCCGTGATAAAAGCCCTTGAGAGGCAGATGCAGTAGCAGCAACTGCTACCCAATCGCATTCCGCAGTCTTTGCTGTCTCAACTGCTCGCCGAACTAGCTCCTTACATAAACCCTGCCTGAAAAAGAGAGATAGTGAGAAGGTAAGAACCAATATAATTACTCGCCAACCCTCTGTAATCGATGTTAACGGCGCATATGTCGAGTTTGAACACTTTGCTTCCGCTTCCAAACAAAAGGTCCTGTTTTTGCTGCAAAGCAGTAACAAATGTAACCAATTGATTCGCTTTGTGTTGCTTGTATGGGCCTTGAGCGATATCTAAATTTTTAACTTTTTTTTTAGAGTTGGGATTGTATTTAGTCAGCGACCTTCGGCAAAATCGTGTGTTTCTAGATTGATTGGAGGACTTTTGACTACATCCTCGCATTGGCTTACAGAGCATAATATAGCGGCAATTAGCCTGAAATCTCTAAAGTTTTTTTTTATTTCAGAGTGTTGTAGAGACTAAGTGCAGATAACAGTTACTCTTGTTTTTGCCGATACTGTTAGGTTGTGAAATAAGTTCAGCATTTTTCTATCAATTTGTTGCTTTCGAGTTGAAAAAAAGAATGTCGCATTTTGTGCTAACATATGCATGCTATCGAAAAAGGGTGAACACAAAATAAAGTGATTGAGGTATCATTTAGTAGAACAAAACAAGCTTTACAATTGATTTGAACAATTACAACAAGTTCGAGCTACGTGAAACTTAAAGTCAAATTTTAGAGGGTTCCAAAATGCCCGGGAAAAAAAACAGTGTGTATCTTCACTCTAGAAAAAAATCCTACAGACTCTCAACTTCCCAAGGATATACATTCCAAATCAGATAATCTATACATAGCTGTTGTAATTTCTTCATGGCTAGGAAACGAAGAAACGAAGATTTTGTTTTAGAGTAATCCTGGGCTATTCCCAACAAGAAATGTACACTAGTAATCTTTGCAACTACATAGATTTTCAGCCCTTTACAAGAGTTAGTTTTCGAAAATGTCGAAGTCAGGTTTTCTTCCAATGTGTCATGCTGAATTTGATAATTTGCGAGAAGTGGCTCTTGCAAAAGGCTGAGCTTCAAAGCTTCAAGCCAAGAAGTTGGAAAACCACGGAAGTAAAATTCACTTTTGGAAACTATTAGGTCGTTGCAAAAATTTTTTAAGTTCTTTTAGCCCACCCACAACTGCATATTAATGAACAAATAGCTTAGTCCACTTCCAGCGCAGAGTTTCCTCCTCTTTAAAGCAATTATAATAGCGCAGTGACATCTGTAGCAAGAATTAAGACAACCACTAAAGATAACGACCCTTCATTTTTTGCCTCCTCAGACTTTTCGATCAAAGGCCTGATTTTTTTCAACGCTTCGCAATACTAGAATTGGTACAAATCTAGTGGACTTAGAACTTCCGATAGCGAACATTATGCCAAATGCTTTACGAAATGTTGGGGAAAAGCCGAAGCAAAAAATGAGAGCGAGCATGTTGCACAACCTGATATATATATACAGGGTGTCCCAAAAGTACTCAGATAATCGCCGGGGGCAGGCGGGCACCGGAAAAATAGTTTGCTGATCTTTCGCACCCCGCTCGCGGATTTTTTGCAAAGCAATCAGGACTTTTCGGAAGACCGCTTGCTGAATTCTCGATTCCTCAGAGATTCAGCAATATATCTGCAAAAGATAAGAGCGAAAAAAATTCAACAGGCGGTCTCTCAAAAATCCGCTGACTTAGCGAGGTGCCCGCCTGCCCCCGCAATTAACTGAGTAAGTACACATTTTTGAATCAGCAAATCTCCTTCCGCGAAGTCTTTTACTTAGCATCAAGTACCAATCAGTAAAGCAGGCTTCAACTCTTCAATTTACAGTGTCAAGCAAATCATCCATCGTTCTTTGTTACTGTGGGATTACGGCAGGATCCAGCATACAACGCCATTATGAAATAGGCCATTCGGAAAAAAGTTCCGGAAAAAATCGAGTAAGTTGTGTATCAGTAATTTCAGAGATACGGATTTTATTGGTCAAGCTTTTACTACTTTTTGAAGTGTTTCAAATAATTTATCCACTTTTTTGAAATCTAAAATGATGTTATTGCGATTTTCCTAGCATCTCATGAAAAAAGCCTTACAGTGAGAATACGGTGAGGGCTTCATATTCAAAATCAGCGACTCGGTTGAGCCTAATGATAAAATTTCCAGCTTGTTGAGTGTCCATTCTGGGACAAAGTACCCACTGATGGCTTAAAACTCTCAAAGTTCTTACCGTAATTCTATAGTAACGAAGGGAGATTGGTGATTTATTCCATAGTATAAACCTAAGTTGAAGTCTGATCTACTGAATGGTACTTCAAGATGAGCAAAAGACTTTGTGGGGAGGAAGCTACTAACAATTAAAGAGCGTATACTTACTTTTGGGACACCCTGTAACCCCAACTTTCATTTTCATCATTCATTTTGACAACTGTGCGATAATCATTTCCCGACTGATAATTCTACTTTGCTTTCTTACTTTTCTTCTTACAACTGTTGACATAACTTCTACCAAAATTCAAATGGAACTGTTATGCTTACCTTTTATCATCGTACACAACAGTAGAATATTTCTCATGTGAGTATCCAGACTCAGCTAAATCGTGAAAGAAATCACGTAATTCAGCTGGCGTTGCAGCTAAATGTGTAGACAGCATATTTTCTATGAATAGCATAACTGATTCTTAAATCTACCTAAAGAGCTTGTTATTGGTTCATGAGTGCCGAATTCAGAGGACATGAATTTTTTGATATCTTCAGCATGTTTCCTTGTGGCTACTGCAAAGCGAAGTCCATCGAACACCTAAAAAACAGGACTTTCTTCAATACTTATGAATGTAGAAAACAAGTGATGAAGTGGGCATCAGACGGAATAAATAATGACAAATTATAAATCCCCCTTAGAATTAGACAACTAAGCGCAGTGATCTTCATTTTATATGTGTTTACTGTCTTTTGGATTTGGTGAGCATCTTGCTCATGCAAAAGTCTTTTCGAATCTTTCCATAAGAAAACAATTTATTTCATTACCCATGTGCAATGATGAATGGCACAAACTTGGTCGTATTCAAAAAACGCTGAAGGTAAACAATACCTTTGAGGGTACCCACTCAAAAAGCGTTTAATTCGTTTTCACGAAGCACTGGGTACACTCAATCCCAAAAGCTAAACATATCTTGAAGGAGACCTAAGCCCGGAAAGCAAAACTTATATCTACAAACGATCCGAGGGTAAACAGTACCCTCAAGGGTAAACTTACCTCAGAAAGGGATTAACTCGTTTTTATGAATGTGATTGATCAAAGCAAGTTTAACCTGGCACAGAGCAAGGTTAGACTTACCATGATACTTCGTGTAAACATAAAGTATTTCTCGATGCATTACTCCGTCTTAAAGATATTGTTTTGACAAAAAACATATTATTAACTAGCTGGCATACCCGGCTCCGCCGTATGTTCCGAATAGAAAATTCCATTTCTTAACCGATCCGAACCAAACTTGGCACACATACACTTCGGGCCCCGGCGGGTGTCACAGTCCACTCTTCGTTATCGATTGATGTCGATTTTATCGATTTTTTGCAAAATTTGAGCTAGGGGGCTGGGATTTGGCACAGGGGGGTGATCGAGCATGCTGATTACGAATACAATATTAGTTTTCGAAACCGTGCATTACTTTTATCGATTTTATCAATTTTTTTTGCAAAATTTGTGCTAGGGGCTGGAATTTGGCAGGGGGGTGTAATCGAGCATGCTGATCACTCCCACGGGGGTGATCAGCATGCTGCAGCAGCGCATCAAATTCTGCATCTTATCGTTAGTTATTGCAGCGAATGCGCTTCCACTCTTTGATTAAAAACAAACAGTGCAGGCAAATCTACTCCCCGAATTTTCTATTGCCAAAGTGCCCAGATTTATCCTTCTATGATTCCCTCCTAGGTAGGCCCTTAGGGTCGCATGCATTAACATCCCCAAAGGGGAGGGGATTGCAGCTCAAGAGAAAGCTTCATTACGCCTATAACCTATCCGTAGGAATTTTCATCCTTCACTATGAACATAACGGGGGCAAGAAGCTGTACAAGCCACATTTTTCAGTTTTTGTATGATTCCCTGAGGATCCCCGGTGGCCCGTCTTTTCTTCAAAGTCATATTACTTTCTTCGAAATTAACGAAAACCTTCCAAGATGTACTGAAAATCTAACACAACAGTGCTAAACATGTTGCTAATAAGAACAAATGAGTTTTGAAAAACTGGATTTTTCGATGAACCCTAACTTTTGACTTTTGGCTCATGCAAATTTCATGATTCCAAAACACCACTTGTTCTTATCAACAAAATGCTTAGTACTGTTGGGTAAGACGAACAGAACAACATCGAAAGGTTTTTGTTAACTTCGAGGAAAGAAAATGACTTTGAGGAAAAGACGGTCGTCCGCTGGGAATCATAAGGGATCATACAAAAAGCTGGAATATGCAGCATGTACAGCTTCTCGCTCCTCTTCGATTTTCATAGTGAAGGATGTGGGAATGCTTGGATAGATAGACAGCGTGAAATCCAGATATCTGTAGCTTCAGTGTATGAATCTTTTAACTAAGTTATTATTCAATTACTACTATCCCCTCCGCGGTTGGGATGTTAATGCATGCGGCCCTTAGTTCACACGATTCTCACCCTTTCTCCCTCCCCATTTTGTTGCCTCAGAGTTCCCATGATGGAACCCAGACTCGTTTCCCGGTCATGGTATGATCGGCTCCCAGATTCGTATAGAGGCGGGTTGCGGATTCCCTGGTTGTGAAGATAAACTTGTTGAACTCCATGTTATAGCATTGTTCTTCGTAGTCCCTGTCAAAAAGCACGACGCTTTGAGTTGGCAAAACTCTGCCTCTATACGATCCGTGAGCCGATAATACCTGAAGTTTTCTGCTCCAAAACTTCTCAAATGGCAGCTCCACGCTGAGTTCAGCGGTGCCCATTTTTGTGTAGCCAATGCAGCGAAAGCGCCAACAACTTTCTGATTCTTTTTATAGGCCACAGTGCCCAAAGTTCCCCAAGTTTCCTCCCTTGGAACTTTTTCAAACGAGAGAGTTTCATGCTGGCTGTTCCTTCTCCCTGCCCGTAGTAGCTTTAGTCACTGCATACGAGAACATCAAAACTCATTCCCCGATTCCTTTACTGTGATCAGAATGCCCAAAGTTTCTTCCACCTATGACCGTATTCATCAACAAACCCAGTGAGTTCCGCTTCTCAGTGGTTAAGCGAAGAGCTGTACAAGCCACAATCTTTGTCACGAAGTTATTCTATTATGCCCAAAGTTTCCTCCCCTTTCTCAAGCAGGGGGGGGGGGGGCTCCAACTCCACTGTGCGCGCACATGGAGCTGGAGCTGTGAGTCTCCATTCGCTGTGCTGATTTGGTCAGAGGACTCTACCCCTGCCTCTCCCCCCCCCCCCTCCCGTACTTGCCTAACGCAGCCTTAAGGTCCATTCTGCTGGATTTCCGGCTCAAGCGTCCAAGTTTCCTCCTACAGAACTCTTTTGATTAAGTGCCCTAGATCACATAGTGCCCACTCTTTGTCCGTCGCTGTCGTTCCTCTAGGTTCTCATGACAAAGCTACAAAGTCCTTCTTTGGTCATGGTGCTCAAATTTCTTCCCTTGAAAGTTCTAGATAGGAGCCAGAGTTCAATGATGCTTATTTCGTCTCCATATCAAAGGAAATCGTTGACTTTCGCCAGCGTGTCCACAATTTTCTTCGCCAAAATCAAAATTTCTTTAAGGTAAATGTCCTAAATAACCTCGGTGCCCACTATTTCTTCCTCCCTGCTGACGTTCCCATAGCTTGTTTTCCCTCAATTGTCCAAGTCATGTGAGGACCTTAACATTATTCCCTAATATAGTATGCCCCAATCGGGATCAGGCTGAACTATTTGGAAGATTTCCGCGCACGCACCGCCAGTACTGTGCGCGACATATGCGCACCATCGGAGAGAGCGAAGAGATCGGAGAGAGAGCAGGCAAGCAGACCGTAAACGTGACGCAAAAGCCTAGCGAAGCGGACTTCTGCCATGCCAATTTTACCTGACTGGGATTGGAGCAGACTGTAAAAGTCCAACAAACTTCCGCAGAATTTACTCTTTCTCCCTTGCTTGAGACTAAGAAACCCGTGATTCTTCGCCGAGAGAAGCCCAAAAGCGCCCAAAGAAACCCAAAAAAGCCCGGAAAAGTCCAAGAAGCTCAAAAAGCCGGAAAAAAGCCCAAAAAGCCGGAAAAAACTCAAAAGAGAGGGAAAACAAATCGAATTTTTGGTAGAATTCTAACATTACTTTGATGTGCAGAGAAAATAAATTAAAAAGAACAGTTGCGACGTCAACACACATGCCTTAGCGTCAAAGCGGAAGGGCGTTCGGCTTTTTTGGGCTTTTTCGGGCTTCTTTCGGAAGTATGACGGGTCTCTAGCCTAACCTCCTCGTCTATTCCATGCCAGAACCCATAACCCTTTGAGGATTCTCTCGCCATAACGCCAGCAGATGGAGTTTTCTCCTAGGAAACTTTCGTGGCTGGAGTGCTGATGACACGCGAAGAAAGTGCCTAAAACTCAGCCTGACTCCATGTTCCGTCCGAAACCCTTTTGCCAAGTAAAATTTCCTCCGCGGAAGTACCTAGCATCCCACAATTGTCGCCCCAAGAATCTCGTAGCCGAGATGTCTTGAGTTCCCACGTTGTCAATTCTTCTTCTTTTTCCCGTCTCTATTTCCTCAAGTTTCGAGAAGGAAAGCCTTCTTTCGCATACATATCAGAGCTTTCCTCCAAAGTCCTTTAACAGCCGTGGGACCTGTTTTTTTCCTTTTCTCACGGCTAACCAACTGAAGTAATCGCTTTCTTTTCCCTCAGCTTTTTTGGAATAAAGATCCAGCTCCGCCCTATAAAGATTTTTCGCGCCAGAATGCCCAAATTCCTATACATAGTGCCTCCTAACTTCTAAGACTTCTAAGATGCCTTCGTGTTTGCTAAATTACGCACACTCCACACCTTTCTTAGAATACTACATTTTCACTGAAAGTGCCCAAAAGTGGTTGCTGGCGAGGCTTGGACAGCTGCCGCGGTGCGAAGGCGTCTTTTGTCACTTTCTCGTGCCATTTTCTCAGAGTTCTCATAGAACTCAGACTCTTAGGATTTTCTGGCCACTGTGCCCAAACTTTCCTCCGAACTCCCTGGGTGGAAGCTCAAAACGGTGCCCATATCTTCTCCTTGCCCACAACGTTTGGGTCAAAGCGTCCACAGCTTTCACTCCCTCAGCTGTTGCTGTTTGGGCTCTTTTCCCTCCCTGGGTTTGCTGCCGGGAGATCTGGCAATGGCAAACTCCAACGACTTGTTAACCGCGGAGCGCGTCGCAAGCTATAGTGAATGGGAACGAAATGGGTGTAGGCTGCGGGTGAGGAGTCACACCACACACGACAGAGGCTTCGCCGCTCCCAAATTTTGTAGCCGAAGGGAACTCTTCGGTGCAAAGTGGCGCGGCGGCACAGTAAGGAGGGGGGGGAAGGGAGTGGCGGCAGATACATGACTCGAGGCCACAAGTAACATCGCGACAAGAGTGGCGACAGGAGCTGGCTTTTGTGCTGGTTTGCTTCTGCGGGCGTCCATCTGAGAAGTGATGCCGGGTCAGGGGTCACCATCTGCGAAGTGATGCCGCAGCGTGATGTCAAGCAGTACAGAATTGAGCAAGTACTCCTGGCACGTTACTTATGGCATCGCGGAATGTATCTGCCCCCCCCCCCTACCTCGTCGCCGTGCCATTTGAGGGTCGGAGAATTTCTGTAGGCTGCAAAATCGGGCGCTGCGCGCGCGGCAAAACTGCCGCCATGGGCGATGTGACCCATAGACCTTTCAACTCTCTTTGAAAGAGATTGTGCTGCATTTGATCACTTTACGAAGAATATATATACACCAGTGCTTCACCTCTGCTTCGCAGAGGTTCGCACTGGCATCGTGAACCGTGGTAAACTCACTTTCTGAGAGCTTGTCTCTCAAAATCATTGTTCGGCTTATTGCAACGTGAGCTGTAGTTAAAAATGAACCATACTCGCTATCTTAACCTCACATGATGTTTAGTATCGTAAATCATTCCTCACTGTAATTTCGTAACGGACAAACTCCACACAACTTCAGATTAAGCCGCTTATTATAAGACATGATAGGCAAAGGATAAACTACTGTTATCACTAGCAGTTAAAGGTCTACTGCCGTACTCAAGATCCTGAGGCGTGAACGAACTAAGCTTAGCAGGAGGGCGCATAATGCGTAGGGTTCAAACAATGCAGCTGCACGGGCCATGTTTGCGCCCGCTTAACTTATTGCTATTGCACCTTTATCTGGCAATATAATAAATAATTTCAAAACAGGTCACATTTCCCCGGAAAGAGCTTGAAAAGCGCTTAAAATCGCAAGAACGCATTATTGACAAATCTAAACACTGGAGCATGAGTTTCAAAACTTAAGTTCGGCAGAGCTTGGTACTTGAGAGAATGAAGTCCATTTCTCTTGAGACTCCAAGACGAATAACGTTATGAATTACAATGCGTCATCGAAGTAAACCTCCTCTGTGCAGGTAAGCTATTTTCCCCGTAGATCGAGATATCCACTGTAGATTGAGATAGGCTGTGATTTCAGATATCGAACTTGCCTGCTGTTCGCGTTGATAGGTAAATATGGTCATACTTCAGTAGAGACATGAAGCATGACCAGAACGACATGTTATGCAGATGTGCTAAAACTCCGTTTTAGTAGCTTTCTGCGTCTGCCGGCGTTTTTGAGCGCTTTTCCCTGGTTTTGTCGAAATATGAGAGATTCCTTACAGTCGGGACATTATAACTTCACATAATGTGTCTGCAGACTCAGCGCTGTCTGGGCTTCCATTGTAACTGGCATAGCTCCAAAGCAAAACAATCATGGAAAACCGACATTTTTCGGTGCACATAACGAGTTTATTTAGCACGAAAGGTTAGTAAATAGAGAAAGAGTAAGCCAATCGAGGTTGTTTGCCCCTCTATGGTAGACACATAGGTTATGCCGAGTGTGCAGTCGCAAATGCGAAGATGAGAATGACAATAATCTCGAATCTACCTAGTGCGAAGATGAAAGGGACAGTTACCCATGAAATCTACCTAGTTCATAATTTCAAATCTCGAAGTGAATCATTTGGGACAGTGCTAAGTTGGAGGGAGCGAGCAGAGCAGTTAGACATCATCAGAGAGAATTCACCAAGGTATAGTGTCTGCTCATCAATGAAAAGGTGCAAAATTACAAGTTCATTAACTAAAAAATTATAAGGAAACTTTGGAAGAAACAAAAACACAATGGGAAAGTTCGACTTTCTATAAATCTCGGCATGATGAATACTGTGTTTATTTGATTGTTTAGCCACGACCGAGATTGGTAAGCTTTTATTTAGGCTAACGTTTCGGCAATAATTCGCCTTCTTCAGAGCCTGAAATGGGCGAAAACAATTTACAGACTACCCGATCAAACATCTCCTCAATCCCACAGGCAAAATTCTAAGCTTTCTTTCGACCACGAGCAGGCTGCCACACGCAGTACTCACCTTTCGTTCGCCGGTAAAGTTCTGGTTTAGTACGAACGAGTGCTTACTGACCGCTTGAGCAAGGAATTAAACATGTCTTCACATGGTCAAAAGATCTGATTAAGATACGGTGCGAGTTCTCGTGTGATAGAGAGACACTCTTCCTTGCGATTCATTTTAGGATTTCTAAAATGAATCCAAAAGGCTTCTAAGGTTTTGCGAGTGGATGTCTGAGCTTCGCGCGCTAGAATCTCTACTTTCACTTCAAAATCAACTCCTTGATGATCTTGCATTCTGTGGGCGCCCAATGGAGTGGATGTGCGCGATCTCTCTTTACCTTTGAGATGTTCCTTAATACGTACACTCAGAGGGCGTGCCGTTTCTCCGATGTATTCGTTGCCGCAATCCTTGCATGATATGAGATATACAACACCCGTACTCATGCAGTCTCCGTCCCTTGCTGTTGGGCATATCGGACAGTTCGGCGTAGGGCAACCGCGGTCGTACATGCGATTCCGAACAAGGATACGTTTCAAATTGTTCGGAGGTATATCTAATACCGAAACTGTATTGTCTAGCCCTGCTCTCCTCAGACACCGCCGAATGGCGGTGCTCACTTCATCGGAGATGAAGGGTATGCCGAAGGGTATCTTTTCTGTTGCGGACGCTCTTGCTCTATCTACAAAGCTCCCCTGTTGGCTCCTACACCGCGTCATGTTGTTTTCATAACCGTTCAATGAAGCTATACTACGCGCCAAGGCTAGTGACTCCGTCTTTTCCTCTCGACCGCTACGAACCTTAGCAGCTGTGCGAAACATATTTCTGACCACAGCTTTTTTAGTATGTAAAGGATGTGCTGAGCGGGAGTGGACAAGGATGTTCTTGTTGCTAGGTTTTCGAAACCACTTCGTTTTTTGGGTCCCACTAGCAATGCTGACTTGAACGTTCAAAAAAGGCAGCCATGCGTTATTAGGTTTCTCCCGAGTTAGTCTTATGTGTTCTGATTGCGCGTTCATCAACTCGAAGCACTCGTCAACTTCCGCCTGTGTGTTACAAATGATAAAGCAGTCGTCGATGTATCTGCAATAAAGCAGAGGATGCAACTGCAACAGGGGTGTCTCGATTTTGGCCATAAAAATTACCGCTAGGGTAGGAGCCAATCGCTGACCCATAGCCAATCCTCGGATTTGAGCGAAATATTTTCCTGACCACCTGAATATATTGCACTCTAGACACGCTTTTAACAGGCCCATTATTTGCGCGATAGATAGTCCGAAAAGTCTTATGGCTTGTTCATGTTCTATCAGATTTTCACAAACGGCTTGCAATGCAGAGTCATTGGATACATTCGTGTACAACGCGCTAACGTCGAATGACTCCATGGCATGATTAGCAGAAACACGTGTCTCACGTAGACGGTCTAGAAACATCTGCGTATTGCTTAGATGGGAAGGGATGAATTGAAGTAGCTGTACTAAAATTTTACTAAGATACCATCCGATCCTATCCGTGGGTCCACCCACGCAACTAATTATAGGTCTGACCTTGAAAGTTGCGGGATCATCAGATGCGAAATCGCGTTCGGATTGGATTTTATGCGTTTTAATGAGAAGGTAAAGTACGGGACAGATTGGCTGATCATTTCTAAGGCGGCTGACGATATCAGGCGCTAGGTTTGCTGCCTTCGCTGTCTTTGTCCATTCTCTGTTTAATTTGCGATATTGCTTCTGATACTCATCTTTCGTAGACAGTTTATATAAAGTGGCATCTTGAAGATGTCTCTCTGTTATTGCGATATCTAGATGATGAGGGATCACTACAAAATCGCCGCCTTTATCACTTATTGACAAGCGTATCTCAGCAGCCTCTATCATTCTCTGAATCTGTTTTATGGCCTCTTTCTGCGTTCTGCTGATGTTTGAGTGCATCTTACTTC